AAGCGAGATTTTTTTTTTTTTTTGGAATAACTCATTTCTGAAATTTACGTGTTTTAAAATTATATTCATTATTGAAATCAAATTTTCTATGGTAACGGCTAGAGCAATTGTTTAAAGAAAAAGGGGCTTATGGTGTTAATAATTTGTATCAGTATAAAGTTACATTCACAGATGTCAAGTTAGAGTAAGGTTGGGGGTGTCTAAATTTAAAGCGGAAGATGATTTCGCCTCGTCTGGTTTGAGTGTCTATGGAGATTTATTTATTTTTTTATTTTATTTTTTTCTGAAAGGGTTTTGTGTATATAAAAACTGTCGTAAATCGCTAACATTTGTTTTTTGACGACTTCATAAAGGGTTATCTTTTTTTGCAGGGCATTTAAACTATTTATTAGGATTATGGATTTTAAAAATTATTTTATTGTTTTTTATTGTTTGTTTGTTTTTATGCTAATTATTTAATGCAAAAATTTGATGATGTCGGCAAAAAACCGTTAACTCATGTCTATTGTTTAATAGATTTTTATTATTTAGAAACTTAATAATATGTAGTTTTTCATGTAGGCATAAAGGGCATGGGTCATCCCAAGTTTTACAAGTTCTAGTTTTGTTTATAATTTTCCATTTTACTTTTGGTGTTTTATTCATTTCCTTGAAATGCCAAAAATATTTAGATAGAGATGTCTGATTTCTTTTATTTATATTGTTGAAAGAGCACTTATGCTGCCTCCATCTGGCTTCAAATTCATTCTTCGTAGACCCAAAGTATATCCTATAAGTATTAGGACTCTCAATGGATTAGATAGTACATTGGTATACCACAGATTTAACGCAGCATTTATTTTCCAATTGGCAGTCTTCTGGGTTTCTACAATCACATAATTTTTCACTGTTTTTATCTAATTTAAGTGTAGGGTTTTTATTAATACTATTCAGGCACGGGGGTTTGTTCAGGATTTTATTATTGTGTTTTTTTATTATACTTTCTAGATTTTCAATGCAGCTGTACCTTAATTTTAGGGTGTTTTATTAAATATTTTATAAAGTCTACTATTGGTAGGAAAGTGTTTTTCAATTAAAGCTAGGAATTTCTGTCCTAGCTTAATACTAACCATTTGGTTGAACGGAGGGGTATACCAAATGATTTTTCTTTTCCTGTTTTTTTTTCGGGTTAGTACAATTGTTTCTATTATTGATGTTAGCATTTTTGTACGCACTATTTTTTAGGGCAGCGTTATAAAAGTTACTATGTTGTTGGAATATTTCTTTGTTAGCGGAGTTAATGCTGATTCTATTTTCTATTGATGAGGGTATATGTTTAATTATGAATGGAGGGTGGTTTGACTTCGGGTGTATATATAAGGGGTTAGTATTTGGATAAAAAACAATAATGACCTTAAAACTACTTAACAGGTGTTCAGCTATCGCAGACCCGGGTGTATTGACTTAGATATGTAAATTATTACAGTCCTTTTGACAGATACATGCTGACCTATTCTTACTTACCAGTTTTGTCTGGTTCCACGTAAGTTGTATAACAAACAGCGAAAATGATTATAACATAATAAAGGTATTTACATCCAGATTAATATCCTCATCTTTATTGTTATTATTACAACGTTTCAGCAGTTGTGCCCTCTGGTTTTCTTCAGGGGTCTATCAACCCGGGTATAATTCCAGAATTACGAAATAAATCCTTTATTTAATTCACGGGGAAGGATATTTCGTCTTCTTCTTTTAAGGACCCTCTAAAGCAGCGTTTCTCAAATGGTGCACCTGGACGCACTACAGCGCCCTGAAAGGTAACCAGGCGCGCCCAAATTAACAGATGAGTAACTTATGAATGACTTGGAAAGCGGCCGGATAGGATTACCATTTTCCCTTTTAAAGGGGGCGAAGATTCGTTGATTTGAGATGCAACCTGTGCCGATACATTTTCGACCGGTAATTTGATCAAGTCCGCGGTCGAGCCGGGGTATGTCACACGGAGATAAAAAAAAAAAAAATAGTTAAATATTCTTCTCTTGCTGACAGATTTATTTTTACTCAAGTGGCAGAGGAGAATTCTGGGATTATTGGCCCTCGTTCGAGGGCATTCCTTCGGAGAGTTGGCGGGATGGCGTCTAGATTAAGGGACGAGCCTCGCGAAACGAAGTGGATCTTGCAGCTTGTCTCACTGGCGATGGTTCGTGGTAATGCTTTCTCCATCATTGCAACTGGCAGAAGATAACAAAAAAAATTATTTTTAATTTTTGAATAACACTTGAGTTATTTTTTATATTTAAAACTCTTTATTTTAAAAATGTTAGCGACACGAAGCACCTGACTTCCATGTCTAAGTAAAATCTTTACTATTTGATATTTTAAACTGGATGTTAAATTTTTTAATCTTTAAGAAGTGGATAATCCCTTCTCTTTCTTAAGGGATTTAAATCAGTCTTTGTCTCTCTTTAGACAATAGCAAATTCTTCATCAATCCATTTAAATGAAAACTGTACTGCTCATCTTTTTTTTGGAAATGCTGAACCAAAATTTCAAATTTCATGACTAATCTAATTATTAAAATTTAAAGTGTACCCCAGAGTTTTAGTTATTCTACAAGTGCACCTGAAGTAAAAAAAAAAAAAATGGTTAAAAAACACTGCTAGGCCTGTTTTACATTGATTCTACATCTGTGCGATTTCCTCCAGGGATTGAACTCACAATTACTATTGTATCGGTTGGGGTACCATTTTTAGCAGGAAGGTTACCAATTTCTCCGACTGGCGCTGAAATCTTCCGAAGTAAATGAGTTCAATAATTGGAGGATATTTATATGATTTCTTTTTACTTAGTTCAAAAACGATCGATATAGTTATATTGATGTCTATACAGATTTACATAACTAAAAAAACAAAACAAATTAAAACATTTACATGATAAGCCGGAGCATGTGTGTGAAAATGAGTGCATTTGTGTGTAAGTGATTTTGGTTGAAATTTTAAAAAATCGGTTTTCCTGGAGCGGACCAGTTCCAAATTGTTGCTATTGTATTCTGTGGGTGAGAAAGAAAAAGAAAAGGTTTTACGTCACTTCCTTTTTTTATAGTGCTTATTATCATGTCACCTAGCTGTCGTAAAGTGACGTTCCGAAGCAGACACTGTTGGGTAATCCCACACGGTAGTAGCAAATTCACGAAACAAAGCTTTAATCAACAGGCAGAATTTGTAAAAAAAAATAGGTGACCAAATTTAACCTCCACATAAAAAAAAAATTATACGTTGTGTTACAAACAACAAAGATGTGATCTACTGAAAATACTGTTTAAATAGTAATGATGAAAACTTCGTTGAAGAATATCGAAAACATAAAAAGCCTCTTAGCCTAAAGCCAACCCAGAATACACTTTGTTCTTAACGTCAGCTAATCAAATCCTTAAATAGTCCCGTTTTTAGAAGCTGACATTTTGAAAAGGTCTGCAAAGCTTCTAAGCAAACATGTCGTAATGTAGCAGGAAAAAAAATCCTGGTATATTTTTATAGAATCCTTTGAAAAAACAAGACATGATGCATTATTATTTGGCTAGGAAGCCGGAAATATCACTTTGAATATACTAAATGAAAACAGTAACAGCTTTAAGTGTTCTATCTTCAGAGTAGGGTCAGCCGACCCCAGTTAGACATTTTCAATTCTGCCTGAAGGAAGTCTGGCTAACAAGAGGTATCCAACCAAATCGTCGATAATTAGTGAGTATTTCATAGTCACAGCTAAAGTACCTTTATATCTACACTGACGTGCAAGATGTTTTAGACAACTACATGAAAAGTTTCGACACCTTTATTGCATTAAGAATTTAAGATTTTTTAGTAGTATGCTTTTATCAATATTGACTGTGGACCTTGTGGATTAGAAAATAAGTTGTTTTCCTAGGTGCTGTGTAACAAAGGTAGCTTAAAGCCGAAAAAGATGCCACGCAAATCTATCGGGTCAATGAAAGATCTGAGAGGATAAAATCAGGATATTATACAAAGTCCTAAATAGGAATTGTTACATCTTATTAACATGACTGTAAGTCGCCTTGACAAATCATTGTATTTGAACATGGGCTTCCTTTTTTTAAACACAAACCATAACTGAAATATAGCTGAAGGTTGTGATTTTAAAGAGGAAGATGACTCAACTACAGATAGTCAAGCGGCTAGGAATTCCCAGAAACATTGTTCAACCAATCCAAAATACGTGTGCTACTACTGGAAGTGATTTAAATGCAAACTTTGGTTCCTTGATTCATTTTTACGGCTTGTCAACCCTTTGGAGGTTATTTAAACCCAGAAAAAGAAATTTTTGAGATAATAATGCTTTAGAGATGCAAGTTTTTTAATTAACACATAACTAGGGAGATAAGAGGTGAATTCATACCTAATCAGAATTAGATGAAGAAACAACTAACCCTGTTATAGATATGAAGTGGGGGATAGAATCTATATTACAATCAGTACAAAAATGATCCCTCACTTTGTGTGCCAGGGTAGGTTCTATGCATTTATATTCCAAAGAATAGAAATAAATCTAAAAGACATGCCAGTGTAGCTAATCAGTATTTCATTTACCGATTCATTTTCTACGGCTTATCAGCAGGTTATTTAAAGCCAGAAAATATCTTTAGATTGAGATTGTAAGAGATTTATTTAGATAATAATGATTTAATGACACAAATCTAATTAAATTAAACCATAGCTAGGGGATAAGAAGAGGTTTCATTTCTTTCCCAAGATTTTCGTGTACGTGATTATAACGAATTCAACGGGAATTCGAACTCGGCTCTCCGATTAACAATCCTGAGCCAATATCCATTACACCACCCCTACAAGAAAGCTTACAGTAACATAGCCGGGGGATAAGCAGAGGATTCATTCCATTCTCAAGGGGATTTGCTCGTAAGTGACTATAACGAATCCAAGAGAATGGGGACTCGACTCTTCGATTAACAATCCTGAGTCAGTTACACCACCCGCACACGCAAGATTACAGTACACGATATTCCCAAGCGATCACCCATCTAACTACTAACCAGGCTCGACGTTGCTTAACTTCAGTGATTGTACGGAGATCGGTGTTTCGATGTGATGCGGCCGTAAGCCTTAAGCGTAAAGAAAAATGAAAGACCAAGAAAAGTTGGGCAAGAAAGAAATATTAGTGAGATTTTCGGTAGGCAATCCAAAATTAATAGCCAGAGAAGTGAGCAGTGAATGCAGTTTTAACAGAGGTTTCAGTTGATACAATACACAGAGTATTTCGGGAAAAAAATCTTGTACGCATGCGTAGGAGCAAAAACAAAACATCGTTAACAAAAAGAACATTATAATATAAGATTGAAGCGGTCAAAATACATGTTGAGAACTGGCAAAGACTAATTCAATATAGAATTAAATACCAATGCTAGAGAAGATCTTGTGAGAAATTCTGCAATTAAAGCTAAGCTCCTATTGGCTAATTTATGCCACACCGTATTTTTTACCGACCAAGCTCTTTGGTTGAATTTTCCTTTGCCTTTCGCGGGGATTTTCAAATGTCCGTGCCTTTTTTTCAGTTTCTGCAAAATCTTTGAGACGACAGGACTCGTATTTCTCCCACATTGCAGGACCTTTAGCGCCCAAAATTAAGCCTAAATGACTAGGCAATTATTCTTCTTGTCTCATATTCTAGAGACTTTTTAAGGCTGAATAATTCAGTCGGTTTATTGACTGTCGTCACATTATGTACTTTTACTGTACATGAAGAACCTTTCTGCATGCTCTCGACAAATAGCCGAGTTTTTATTTCAGCAACCAAATTGGTAATGCTCCTGTTCGACGACCGTCAAGTTCCTGCTTCTTCAAATCTGCATAGAGACCAGTTGAGTCCTACAGAGAAGAAAAATACTACCACTTCTTTGAAATAACTACCCCACCCTATTCACAGTGGCGCAAAAGGGGCATAATCTTTTTTGCAAAGACGAAATAAAGTTTGTATTGAATTTTAAGGTAGGCTTTGTTTGAATTGTATGTCTTTTCTTGTCTGCCGGGGTTAAACCGTGTGAGAAGAAATTCTCACAATCTATGAAGACCACTTTTTTTTTTAATGTAATTTAGTTTATTTAACAGCTTATCATCTCCTTATGGATCATTTAATGCCGAAATTTAATTTTCTTCGGAGCTTAGGTTATTTTTTTTTTTTTTTGCTATTAAAATCTATTGCTGGAATGCTGGGTCTTTTTATTCTTCCTGTAAATGTAATGTCGTGATCAGGAATTGCCATCCACGTGTTCCTTTGCTCCTTCATCTTTAAGTCTAAGCTAATAGGAGTTGCCAGGTAGCTAATTTCGGCCGACTATCGCGAATGTTAAGCCTACACATGGCATATAAGACGCAGGAGAATTTTAAAAAGATATTTTTAGTAAAAAAAAAAAAAAGAAAAAAGTGCACCTTACATGCCGTCAAATACGGTAATTGCATTTAATTCTGCGGGGAAATCAAAGCTGATAAACAATAATGGAAATTATTTAAGTCAAGTCTTCACCTAAGTTGTCAGTCGATTTCTATCAATGCATGCCACCTGCGCATATCTGTCGACCATCTCTGCCAGTCTTTTCGTATTTCATATTGCTCCCAATCTGTTTAGATCTATCAATATACCCTTGTTAGTGTGTCCATTTATACTGCATTTAAACGAATAAAAGACTCACGCGCATATCAGACGCACGACCATTTTAGCAGGGTATATTCAGCACAAACATTTTTAGTAAATTTCAGTATTACATTTTTAAAAGCAGCTATCGCTATTGCAGAAGTAACATTACTGAAGTACTTTACCTAGTGCAAAAAACGCTACTGTATATAAAAAGCAAGGTACTAGTAGAGAAAAGCATATAACACATCACCCATTTATCATTCTTTTTGAGCGCTACGTAAGACGGTCATATTTTGCAGATTTTGTTTGCGTTTAGCCATTATTGATATTCCCATTTAGTTTCTGTCTATATTTCTGAGAGGAGGTATTATGTACATTATTTACATTATTCGAACTATTGTCCTCATCTTTGTCGCCATATTTATTACAACGTTTCGGCCGTTGTACGCTCCGGCCTTCTTCAGGTGGTTGGAATGTCGAATAGAACCCTTTATTTCACTCACTGGGGTAGAGTGGGACACATGGCACAGTGGATAAAGGCATTGGTTAGATCCAGTGACAAGACCCAAAGAGTATGAGTTCAATACCCGGTTAAGGCAGTGGAGAACGTTCAGAGGGAAATTAACAGGCGATAACTGATAACTGACATCCATTAAACATGGCACGTGGAACTAGAACAGTCTACCCCGGTGAGCGAAATAAAGAGTTCAGTTCGACATTCCAACCACCTGAAGAAGGCCGGAGCGTACAACGGCCGAAACGTTGTAATACGTTTGTATGGCGACAAAGATGAGGACAATAGTCCGAATAATGTAAATAATGTCCCATTTAGTCATATTTCTTTCAATTTTACTGGGCAACTGGCTACCGATGGGACTATATTAGGAATCAGCTGGTCGCTGGCACTTTGTTATGATAATTCCTCGTACAGTATAGTCAATAATAACAATAATAATAATAATAATAATAATGATAATGATAAATGTCCCGATGCTCCATGAAGCATGTCATGGCTCTCAAGGCTTTTATATTAACTGATAGTAGGTGGTAATGTTTTTGTGTGAGCCAATATGAGCTCCGGTAAAATAGGGGATAGATATAGAGAGAAAAAAGATAGAATTTGCGATGGATAGATAGAAATAAATGAATAAACTGATAGATAGATAGATAGATAGATAGATAGATAGATAGATAGATAGATAGATAGATAGATAGATAGATAGATAATTTTTATTAACTTTATTTTTATTGGTGAGTACTTGTAACGGCACGGTTGATATATAGACAGAGACAAACATATTTTTATTACCTCAATTGCCGAGCACCTACTTGTAACGGCCAGTTTGATAGATAGATAGATAGATAGATAGATAGATAGATAGATAGATAGATAGATAGATAGATAGATAGATTTTTTATTACCACAGTTGGTGAGTACTTGTAACGGCCAGGTTCATAAATAAATAGATTGATAGATGTATTTTTATAACCTTATAATTTTATTGGTGAGTAATTGTAACGGCACGGTTGATATATAGATAAACTGACAGACATATTTTTATTACGTCAATTGTCGAGCACATACCTGTAACGGTCAGTTTGATAGATAGATAGATAGATAGATAGATAGATAGATAGATAGATAGATAGATAATTACCTCCCTTTCGTGTGTGCTTGTAACGGCCATGTTGAACGCTAGAGCAGCCATTCAGAGCTACGCTCCGACAATTCCAATAAAGAAACTTATTTTCTCTTTGCACAATAAGTTTTTATTGTTTACATTTTGTTACTCCATTATAGAGAAGTTGTGTTTCACTAAGTATTATTAGAAGTAAAAAAAAGTTACAGTCAAAAACAACACTTTAAAAATACACATTCATAATTACAGTGAAAAGCGAAGGAACGCCTTTGGCAGAGAATCCATTAGCTTTCAATGTCGGATTCTGCTTCTTTTAAATTGTCTCCATAATGTACAGTTATTGGACTTTTAAACTAGACACGCAACAAAGATTTAAGGCTTAAAATGTAGTTATAATCAGTCATTGTCGTCGTTGTTATCGTAAGGGAAAGTGATTGCTATTTTTTCCCAATCGTCCACATTATGAATTCTAATTTCAATTAACAGATTTTGTTACATTTTTGCAGAGTGACAATTCGACGCGCTTTGAATGATGCATACAATTTTTTATCAATTGATTTTTTCTTGCGTGTATCCAGGGATCTTTTTAAGGATGAAGAAACGAGAAATCTTCAGTTCTTGCTTGCGTAATCTCCCCCGCCCCATTTAATATCACTAAAGAAAGTTTGGATGGTTTTTCAATTTGTTTTTTTTTTCATTTTCATTTACAACACACTTGAAGACACTTAAGTATTTTGATCTTTCCTGGGTGAGTAAAGTTTGAACCTATTAATGGGTTAATATTGGCACTATCTGAAAAAGACTGACAAAGAAAGAAAGCAAGAAAGAAAGCAAGAAAGCAAGAAAGAAAGAAAGAAAGAAAGAAACTGAGATTGAGAGAAAGAAAGAAAAAAGAAAATAATAAAGAAATTGACTGAGACACAGAAAGAAAGAAAGAAAGAAAGAAAGAAATAAAGAAAGAAAGAAAAATAGACTTAGATAGATAGATAGATAGATAGATAGATAGATAGATAGATAGATAATATACCAACTTGATTTGGCCGTAAGCCTTAAAAATGGCTTCAAGCGAATGAATCCTTTAGGACGTGAACAAGGAAATTATCGCACTATAGACTGGTGCTACATAATAACAAAAACGTTACCAAATAACATCACGTGGGAAGCAAAGGAAAGAGCGATTAAACTGTCTAACGAGTGCTTTTTCTTGGTGGGGAAAGGGAATAGAATAGAAGCCAGCACAGAGACAAAGAGGGTGGCTACAAGGTGAAAAGTAACTTAGTGACAAAAAAATGGAGAGAGCCGCGATCGCCCACATTCGGACGGGGCGCAGCGCATGAAAGTGAAATGAATATCTGGCGTTTATATTTCTTGCTGTTTGCCAACGGATGTTTGTAAGTTTAAACGCTGAAGCAAAAAGCAAAAACAAAAATGGCGGATATCCTTACAAAGAAGAAAAACATTAACTTATCGTTTATTGATTTGCCTGATTGTTATTTTTATTTTCGTAGCGTATCATTATCTTCAGACGTCAAATTAGGCCTGATTAACCATTAGGCAAAATAAGCATGTTTTAGGTTGCAAAAAGATGTGGATGCCGCAGAGTTTTTTCTTCTCTTTTGTGTTTTCTTTTTTCTTTTTCTACAGGTTTTATGCTTGGTCATAGCTCTAACTATATATCCCATAATGCCCAACACATGCTGTGCAAAAGAAAAGAAAATCCAGGGACTAAATCATATGTTAAAAACTGTGGTGATGACTGGTTAAAACAGGTTAAGTTTTTAAAAGTGTTCATTCTATATTTCTGTTTCTAATCTCATAAAACGTACTTCTTTTTTTAGATTTTTTAAGGTAGCGAAAGTAAACGATAAAAAAAGAATTAAACATCAATTGAAGTAAGACTTAACGCAAGGCTGTTAGCAAAAGGAACGGTTCAACATGCAAACAAGAAATTAGAGATGCCAAAATCAATGAAGTACAACAATTTAAATATCTGAGAGGCATATTAACAAAAGACAGAAAATGTGACAAGGAATTCTGAAGGTACATTGGAATAGCGAAATATGCCTTCCAAAAACGAAGCAAAGTATTAAGAAACAAATAAAAGACTACTTAATTCTTTTTAATAGCAGTGAATGACAGTGAATGCGGGACAATCTCCTCACAGGTGAAGAGGAGACTTGAAGCAACATAAATGTGGTTTAACTGCTGAGAATATCATGAACTGAACACGTGAGCAACGATGAAGTTTTAGAGAAAATGGCAACAAAAAGGACACTTATACATGAAATGAGGAAGAGACAGTTGAAATTTCTAAGGTATATAATGAGGAAAGATGACGTGGAAAATTTAATACTCACTGGACAGATTGATGAGAAGAGGGGCTGAGAAAGCAACGCATAACCTACCTCGAGAGTAAATGGATTATTATATGTCTCTATTTATCGAGCTTATTTTCATTGTTATTGCTGTTAATAAGTTCTTAGTCTTTTCCCTGTTGTATATTTTATTTATATTTTATATATATTTTTATATTTTATATTTTTATATTTATATTATATTATATTTATATTTTCATTTATATATTTGTATGCATTTCTCTGAGCGTTGTGAGTGAAATAAAGAGGAAATGAATATTTTGTCTTAAATTGCTCTACATTCACGATTTTGAAAATTTCATTAATTTAGCCGGGTTTTTTGGGGGAGGGGGGTAACAATTATTGTTTTTCACCTTCTACAAGGTCCGGCGGTCTCTCGAAGTAGAGGCTTACAGAATAAGAAGCAGGTTTTATGCTGATAGGTAGGGAATATAACGGTTAGACGTGAACAGATTAAGATTATAGTGATCAGGAACACATTCTCTTGGGAGTCGGTTCCAGAGAGCAGTGATTCGCGGGAATAAGCTGTTCGTGTGAAACGTACTTCTCATCAAAGGAATACGGATAGAATGAAGGTAGTTTTGTTGTGAGTGGCATGGCGGGTCTGTAAAGGTGAGAACTGGTGGGACCAGGGAATAAAGTTCGTCCGAGCAGCTTCTATGAAAGTAGCGATAGTGCAGTTAAAAGCTTGAAACATCCCGTCTGTGAGAGAGTGGTTGCAGAGTGGAAAATACTTTGTTACCCACAAGGACGCGAACACGCTTATGGACTCTACCGAGACTAGAAAGTGAAGACTGGGCATCTCCTATCCAAATATGACAGCAATACTCCATTATAAGCCTGATCTGGCTCTTGTATAGGTAGAGGATAGCATTAGGGGTCAGGTACTTATTGGAACGGTACAAAGAGCCAACCATTTTTCTTGAATCTTTCGCGATAGATCGTATGCAAGAATTTCATATGAAGTCAAGAATGAGTTTAAGGTCTAATAGTCTTTCAAAACACGGAGGCTTCCCGAGGGCACATTGATTTATCGTAACTAATGGTAGTTATATATATATATATTGACTTGACTTTCCCTGACGATCCGTTTAGGTGAAACCTAGGTAGGTTTGTCTGGCTCACTAGGTGTATCTAGGTCTGCTCTACGGTTGTATTGAGCGCTTTTGTTAATTAGTTGTTACTCGTATCGGGGTTTTTTCTTTGGGCTTCAGACCTGCATCTGTGCGATTTTTTGTCGACAGAAGTTCATGTTTGTAGCTCTTTCTTTTTTAAAACTTTTTTTCCTCAAGATTGATTTGATTAGCAAATCAAAAATTCGAGGGTTTTTCGAAACGAGTTTAGTTATCTATCTATCTATCTATCTATATATATATATATATATATATATATATATATATATATATATATATGGATATAGATCCGACAGTATGAAGAAAAAATATACGGAAAAACAAACAAAAATCCTAATATGCAATTATGCTGTTTTAATGTTAATATAATGTCAACGTCGGATTTCTTAACGAACTGTTTATATGAGAAAATCTTTCAATCGAGCTTATCTAATATTTTGAAATCATCTTCGAATACATTTTCACAACATCGCCCACGTGAGGACGACGTGATCCTATTAAAAAGGAAAGCTGATCTTAGAAAAATTCCAGTTATCTGTTTGGATTAGTCTTACTCTTATGTCCATCGTCTTTTTCATGTTGAATTGAATATAGTCTAATGTTAATTATGTTTTATGAATATGTCCTGAAGATGGTCGACTAGACCGAAACGTCCGACGTTGACATTATATTAACATTAAAACAGCATAATTGCATATTAGGATATTTGTTTGTTTTTCCGTATATTTTTCTTCATATATATATATATATATATATATATATATGTGTGTGTGTGTATATATATATATATATATATATATATATATATACACACACACACATATATATATATATATATATATATATATATATATATATATATATATATATCGATCGCGAACCCTGTGACCCATCAATGTCGTAAGGGTAGTAGAAGTGATGTTTCGTGGGCAAGATAGCCTGATGGAGCCCAGCCCTTTCCAGGCCGGTTGTTGAATTCAGAGTTGCCTTCTCCTAGACCGGTTGCCACTTAAGGCTAGAAAACCTAGTCTGTACTGCTATTTACCCATAGCTGGTGAAAGAAGAGGTTTCATAACTTTCCCAATATATATATATATATATATATATATATATATATATATATATATATATATATATATATATATACAATCGACATAGCCTGACGATATATATATATATATATATATATATATATATATATATACGCAATCGACATAGCCTGACGATATATATATATATATATATATATATATATATATATATATATATATATATATATTTTTGAATAAAAACAGACCACTTTAAGGTTCCATGTAATAAGTTATTTCACCACAACCCTTTTAAAAGGGCTCTGGATCATCAGACTTTACTTCCAAAGGTTGAAATGAAAAATTAAAAGAAATTTACACATTTTTGACGGACCGCATATTTATAATAATTTATATAATTTTGTAAATATCTTTTCATTTTTCCATTCAACCTTTTTGAAGTAAAGTCTGATGATCCAGAGCCCTTTTAAAAGGCATAAACTACATATATATATACACACTCGAAGGTCAAAATTTTGGTTTATTTATATCATAAAGTCTTTTCAATATCAAAGCCCTCTTAACTTCAGCGTTGACACACACGCCAACGCGCGCTCACACATACACAATGCATACACGGAAGGGAAAAAATAATGATAGCTTATATCACTGACTGAAAACTTTCACGCTGCGACAGCCCTGACAAACGTATGGTAAACATATATATAAACATTCTGAAAAAAAAATATTTTCCCTCATGTTGACAATAGAGACAGTGAGTTGTCTCTCGTTATGCTGATAAAACCCGCTAACCTTATTGATATAAAAATCACAGTTATTCCGTTCTCTGCGCTGTTGTGTAGCTGTCAAGATTTTCCGATGTCCATAACATGTGTCATTGATGATTTAAACATGCACGTATGATTTACTAAGAAGCCAGACTATAGGAAGCATTCTCGGATGTTACACATGCTCTGATAATCATTAATGGCAACCAGTATCTGAGTGTTACATCCTCCAATTGATGCAGAATTATATTTCTTTGCAATATATTTTCTTTCTAATTTCTATTTTCTAAATGACGAGACAGCCTGCTGCGTTCTGGAGGCTAGGTAAGCGATCCTTTTGATATCTGCAGGTGCGATGAATAAATTGTCATCTAAATGAGGCAAAAATGAAAATTACACTGACATCTCATTTTAACTGATATATTTACCGAAATTACGCAAAAATATCTTGAAATACTAAAGAGTAAATTTATTCCATAAAATGGCAATTGGCTTAAACTACAGCCTCCTGACAACTTCGGAATCTCCTGCAACTCTTCTGGACTATATCATTGTTTAATTTAGTGAATGCTGCTATAATCCTTGCCTTCAGTTTATCTTTGCTGTTTTCAAGGAATTTTGTTGGTCTCTCGCTCAACTGCTCCCCACACATAATAATCAAGGGGGTTGCAGTCTGTTGAGATAGGTGGCCAGATGTAAATGATGATGAGGTCGCAGAAATTGTCGTAGAACCATGACTGTTCTGCTTGTGTGGCATGGTGAAGAACCTGTTGCCAGGTATTGAGTATTCTAGCAGCCGCCCTCTTAACCTAGAGCAGCACTACCTCTTCAACCCACTCCGTGTTGAGTCTGAGGCCCTCACCAACAAATTCGGGATTTCTTTTCTTATCAGAACGGGTAGAGTAAGTTTTCCGAGCTGCCGTACCTTTGTAATCAACATTAGAATCATCCATCTCTTTCAGAATCCTCTGCAATGTCCTCAGATTGACACCCAAACACTCTGAAATGTTCGTATTTGGAGCTTCCGGTGCGAATGCTTAGCAGTATTTCATGCAGTTTCAAAATTTCTGGCGGAGTGAATTGTGTCATGGTATTCTTTTTCTCGCAGACCCTACTATAATATGCAGTGGATAAAATCAAAGACAAAAAAAAACGCGCATGCGCGAAATTAGAAATATAAAATGGCGATAATTTACCCTGTACGCTTTTACTCCTGTTTCTTCTCACGACAAATTAACGGCCCATGTCTCCCCTCAGATCATCTCCTCGCGCACATCTATACATCTCGACGGGCTGCCTATCATTCCCTATCGGCTGGCTCGTAAATGAATTGCTTATAATGCGGTCTAGCAATACAAACCTACTACCGGGAATCACTACCTTCCGGCCTAGTGGCACTTGCTTCCAAAATTTTTCATCTATTTGCTTCTATTTCTTTCTTTGTACTTGCACACACCGGGCGGCATCTCAGATTTTATATCGAGACTTTACTGTTGGTTATAAAACAGCAGACTCTTCCATCGCAGATAAAATAATTCACAGCCAAAACGACTTCGTGGGTATTGTCATAACGACAAGGTCACATTCTATCACAAATATTCAAAAGCTGTTTCAAATTCTTTTTTAATGAAGGTTTTCTTCCTAAACTGTTTTAATTTTGGTTAAGTTGTTTTTATTTAGCGATATATCAACCTCTGTATGTTATTTAAATGTTTGGTACTAAAATTTATTAATTTTTTTTATTTCTTTTTGGCGATAATAATGTTTTAGTGATATAAATCTTACTAATTAACCCATAGCGAGTGAGAGAAGAGATGAATTCACAACTTTCACGGGGATATTTACGCGTAAGTAAATATAACTGAAATTAGAACTCGGCTCTCCGATTAATAATTCCAAGTCATTATCCTTGCGCCATCCGCAAATCCAAGCTTACAGCACCTGGTATTCGTTGCTTAACTTCTATGATCGTACAGGTACTAATATTTTAACGTAATATGCCCATAAGCTAAATGTTGTTCTTGAGCGAAAAGGATAAAATTTTATTAGATATTTATGGGCAATATTCGATCGGACAATAAGGTAAGTGCCCATGAAATCTATAAGGACGATTGTTTTGTGGTTTGAACGTAAAAGAGTTGAATATTTCACAGAAAATAGCAGATCTTATAAGGTCGATGCAAGAAAAGGGAAATTTTACCAAATTTCCTGGGTGACAAAACAGGGTCAACGATGGATGTTAAGGAATCATATACTTCCAAGAGCAACAAAAAAAACAGGAAATTGTGGAGAGCCATAACGCTCACATTCTGAAAGTACATACAAGAATGAGATAATATTGCCTGAACTATTTTCAGATTCTCATATGCAGTATCAATTACTGCGTTTGATTTCCAATCAAATCTTTTTGCTATTTAATATTATAGAAGAATGCTTAAAATACCGTGGCTCGAACATTTGAGCAAAGACAATGTTTTAACGAAAATAGAAACAAAAAGGACATCTATGCTTAACATCGGGAAGTGACAGGTGAAATTACTAGGATACATAACTCAGGAAAGAGTACTCGGAAAATTTGATCTTCACAGTATAGCTTAAAGGCTAGAGGGATAGATAACCTTCCTAACTATCATGAGTAAATTGATGGCGGAACATCGTTTAGGAAAGATAACCAAAACAAAATAAGAAACGAGTCAAACGAAAAGAAAACATAACCTACTTATCGAGGTTGTTTAAATGTATGGCGGAATGGTGGAACAAGTTTAAGAAGAGATAACAAAAAGACAAAAGGGAGGAAATTGTGGAGAGCCATGATCAAAAAATGTCCTGAAGAGACACGGCACATAGAAGAAGAGCCACTTTTCCAAAATGGATGGCGGAACAAGATTAAGGAGACATAACAAAAAAACAAAATTTATTAAAAGCTACAATGGACAGGAAATCATGGAGAGCCATGATCGCTAACGACCTGGAGGGACACAACACATAGAAGAAGAAGTTAAGAAGATTTCTCTGAAATTATCGGCGGTCATCACATTTACAACATTGGCTACGAAGATCTAAGGTGTTGATGATGGAATAGTCCGTCCAAATATTTAACCCATAGATGGGGAAGAAATAGATTCATACCTTTCCAAAGAATATTTATTCGTAAGTGAATGTAACGTTAGAAAAGAAAGAAGGGTACTGAACTGTTACGTCATATCAGCCTCATGGAATCTAGATTCTCAAATGGATATCAGGTATGGCGCCTACCTTGTTTAGAAACGTCTAAACACTCAGCCGTATATAACAGCTTTCTCATATGGATGATTAAAATGGCTTCGAGCTAATGAACTCTGTAGAAAAGCGTACTTAACTGTTACGTGATATCTGTCCTCCTATATGGCAGTAAATGCCGGATAATCTCCTCACAGATGAAAAGGAGATCCGAGACAAAAGAAATGTGGTTCTACAGAAGAAGTCATACATCCATATATTCTCCAGATATGGGCGAAACGATAAGACAGATTTGACAGTCTTGTCTTGATTAAAGAGGGATGGGCTTCGTCCGTCTACCTTACACTTGACCGTACGTATGAACACTAAAGGGTATGTCCCAATACATTGGACACGATTGTAAGTAGGGGTAATATGCTGTCTAAGTATGTCACGGGGTGCGTTTTTTAGGTTCCCTGAGAGTGTGCGGTATTATGGTATATGGAGGACCGATTGGTGACGGATGAGTTCTTTTGGTGAATGTGCGATTTGTAATGAGTGAATGGGTCGTGAATCGGATTAGCTAGGTATAGGATAGTCAGTGAAGACCAGCCTCAACCCATTCCCGCCTTTCGACCTTGTGCCATAATTTTATTTTATATAATAAATCTCAATATGCAGTCGAAGTTGTCCACCATTAGCAGTGGTTTACCTACTTCATGCCGCTGGCGAGTATTGTATTTTGTTGATGTTATAAAGATAACATTCCAGTTCCAAACTCCGTTTTGGTTGTTCCTCATTCAATAACTCTCTCTAGGTTGCAACAGATAGATAGATAGATAGATAGATCTAAAGAGAAAACTAGATAGATAGATTTGAAGAGAGAAGTAGATATAGATAGTGCTATATACCTTACCTATAAACATTAATGGTTACGTCCCAATCCTCATAAATACGTTGGACACTATTGTAAGTGGGGGTAATATGATGTCTCATTAGTCCACCACTAGCAGTGGTTTACCTACTTAACAACGCTGGAGAGTATTTGTATTTTATAAAGATTACATTCCATTTCCAACATCCGTTTTCGTTATTCCTCATTCAGTAAGCCCCTTATAGGTTACAATAGATAGATAGATAGATAGATAGATAGATAGATAGATAGATAGATAGATAGATAGATAGATAGATAGATAGATAGATCAAAAGAGAGAACTAGATTGATAGATTTGAAGAGAACACTAATGGGTATGTCCCAATCCGCATAAATACGTTAGACACTATTGTAAGTGGGGGTAATATGATGTCTTAGTAGTCCACCATTAGCAGTGGTTTACCTACTTCACGCCGCTGGCGAGTATTGTATTTTGTTTCAGTTATTCCTCATTCAGTAAGCCCCTCAACACACAGTCTTCTGCTACGGGTGTAGTACATGCGCTTCTCCAACGACCCCAAAGGGTTTTGGAACATCATGATCATTATTGGGAAACTGTTTATTTAATAATAATTAAGCTCTGTCTTTCTCATCATTAGAAACGCACCTGTCGGTTACGTTGGTGGGGTGGGGATTCACCAATTAAATCAGTCAGAGCTGAAAAGCAATCAGAAATCTCGTGCAAGCCAGTAAAAAGCGTTTAACAAGTTGGGAATTTCTCTTGACAAGAATTTTTTCTAAATATAACAAAACCGCGGTAGTTAACTATATTTTGCAATTGCCTGAAGAAGAAAGTCAAAGATTTCATGTACAACTCAATCAATCTGTGATTTGTTTGCCAGAATAAGTGCTGTTCCTTTTTGCCGTACCGTTTTTGCTTAACATATTGTAAATGACTGGCGAATGGTCCGCGACCTCGACACAGGAATCTTTCACCACCACCACCCCACGTACCTCATAAAAAGATATTTACTAATTCTATGTTTGGCTAACCTCTCGGCGATGCATAAAATACACCGAACACACCAGCTGCAGAATGTCTCCCCAATGATTTATCCAGACGCAAATCGTACTATTTAGCCCATAGGTGGGGAGAGGATATATAGTCAAGCCTTCCCCAATGGCATTTGCACGTAAGTGAACGTAACGAACATTAGCTGAATTCGAACTCGGCTCTCCGATTTCTAATTAGGTGTCGTTATCCCTATCACCTCCCACACATCCTCAGGATTTTAATAATATGTGTAAAAATGCTTATGTCTATATGAATAATGTCTGATTTGTTTCCTTGACACTCCATAACGCAATCAGGTTCTCTGTCCTGAAAAAAAAGGATTTCAAAATGTCTGATGGGTCTTTTGGTCAGATTTCGAGCAGTGCGACGCGTAGCAGACTGTCCTTGTGCATTCGATTTTCTCGGATTGAGGAATCGGAGAGCCGAGTTCGAATTCCAGTCAATTCTATTACATTCACTTACGTGCTAATACCCTTGTGAAAGGTATGAATCCTCTTCTTCTCCCCCAGCTATGGATAAATAGCAGGACAGATCGGGTTCTATAGCCTTGGATGGCAATTGATCTACCGCAGAAAGAAATGGCAACCTAATGCAGGAAAAAAATATTCCTCGTCAGTCATGTATCCTTCGATACATGATTGCCTAAGCGTGTATCACGTATGGCACTGACTGAATCGGCACTTCTGGATATGCCTTGTGGTGGAATGAATATTGGCTCGAAATTCGGAGAACCGGGTTCGAATTCTAGTCGCGTTCATAATATTCACTTATATGAAAATTGTTGACCATGTTCACCATAGTCTATGAATATAGAATACAGCGCAGTATGTAACCTGTTCCATGAAACAACGTTAAAGATTAACACTCACGAGTCAGACACTCTTCTGAATCTGACTATATCGCCAATACCACCAGCAGCAGCTGTTCCGTAATTCTTCCGTCTTCGATATCAAACGCTGGCAGTGCGTATTCGGGAAAAACATGGCCGCCTTTATACACATCGCATTGAATATTTTGAGCCTTTTGATTGGTTGACACTTCTATTGATGAACTGTAAAATGAGTCAGATCATTTTGGCTGGCTCACTATTACACCAGGGTATCCAAAAATTCCATCAAAAATACTTTTGGGAACGGTGTGAATCCAAATCGTAGAAACCCGGAGCATACATCTGCAGGAATTTTCCTATAAATTTGGGGAGAAGATTTTTTTTTTAGTGATCATTCTTCCAGATTGAAACAGATCATCCTCCTGTATAGCGGCGATGTTGGCCATTAATGACGTATCTCAAAGGGTCAGGATGTGGCTATACCATGAACAGAACATATGATGACCAGCGAGGAAATTTTAAAGAAAATGGGAACTAGAAGAACATGTGCTTAAAGAAAGAGACAGCTGGCATATCTCGGGCATATGAGGAAAAAGAGCTTAGAAAATATAACACCCACTGGACATGCTAAATAAAGGAAGGTGAGAGGGAATCAACGAAAAAAAATTTGGAACGTGGAATGGATAGCATAACGAGTAAGATAAATAGTAAACGAGTTAAACGTTGCCTTAAGGGAAGGAAGTTGTGGAGAGTCGTAACAAGCCATTTCGTGAAGTTATAGGGTGCGTAAAAGAAGTGTCTGGCCCAAAATATTTCCACGACAAATATCTATTTTTCAATATAATCTCTAGTCAATGTGCTGCATAGCCCCCAAGTGAGATGGTCTCATGTCTTCTCTCGGCTAGCAATCGCTAATTGTTTTGGTTCAGCAATGAAAGCCTTCAAACACAGATAATTTTAACTTAACTATTTTTATTGCTCATGTCGACGTGTACATTATCTAACTATCCAGTGGGGTGGGTGTCGCGCAACTCTCACTAGGGAGACGTTTCGGACACGAAAGAGAACACGTCTACATCGCTTGACGGTTAAGCACCAATTCGCTGAAATCTTTTTCGTATCTATCTTTCCCACGCCTGTTCAGCCAATCAAAATCGACTTTCCTATTATGGCTCACATCTGACCCCGAATGTCAACCTCCGGAAATCGGAGCCGAGATACACTTCCCCTAAAAATGATAGTCTGCTAAACAATAATTTGACAAACGTACCCAATTCAGTGGTAAACATTAATCACATTGATCGAACATTATACACTGAAAATACCAGATCTGAATTCAACTAATGAATACAGAGTTATTGATTCTTTCTCGTATATAGAAATAGAAAGAATAAAAAATTCATTTGGGTTTCAGTATAATTAGCTAATTTAAATGATATAGGCTGTTTTATCAAACTATAAATTGCTTGTCAAATGCCAACAGCAGTAAAAAGAATAAAATTTTATTCAAAGACCTTACAGAGAAGCGCCTGAAATGATTTGAATTAAAGACAACTTTTTTCATCTTTCACCTCCATCGATAGGTTAAATAGCAGATCAGACGAAGCTCCATATCCTTGGTTAGGAATCCGTCTTGGTGATTTTTATATGCGAATAAAATGTCACTGCCGACACTGGAGTTTGAACATAGATCGCCAGTGAGCAAACACAGGTGATCCCATTATTGAATTAAGTAGACAACGTGACCGTAGAGGAAACGTATATATGGGAGTTAGCGTGTGTCTAATGGATCGTCATTTCTATACCCTCTGTTACTATTCGGATCTGTACTTCTACTCTTTCTTCTATTACCATACGGACTGCTTTTCTCTACTCTATTTACTACACTATTTCTCTATTTAGATCACTATACGGGTTTCTTGCCGAGCGAGTATTATCGAGCAAGTACAATTAGTGCGAGTGATATTCGAAGGCGTCTGTCATCAGCATTGTTCAACGGCGTATTATAGTTGTTATTAGCGATTAGAAAGTCTCTACCACAACGAGCATTGCGAAAGTAACAACGATTATTCGTTTGGCATCACAAAAGTGACAACGAGTGTTCGTTGACATCACAAACGTGATGGAGATTTCTGAATTAAAAGTGGCAGGACGTCGGACTAGCAACTCTATCCAGTAAAGAAAATATTTGGTTACTACTGAAAAATAGCAGCTTAGTCTATGTTCTAACGTGCTAATCGAAGGAAAACTCTGAATTTCAAACCGTGGAGACGGCAACGGGAAGACACTCGACAATTTTACTGACGAAGTGTATGGCAAAAGAAACGTCAGTATCCCGCATGTGCTGAAGTTATATGTCATTTTCATTAAAAACATATTCCAGATGAAGTGCAGGAAAAAAGAACACGGTCTGTAACATAATAACAATTTTAGGTAGAAGCTTATGAAGCTTTATTCGACTCATTCTGCTTTAGCACTGAAAAACGTTTATTTTATTGTGATGGACGATTACAAGCGAGAGGGGAGATCTGATGAGCTTATTTTATTGCCACACTGTCTGTATAAGAAATGGATTCACTAGCCTCGCAAACTTCTGCAGTTTACGTAGTTGTTTAACTTTGGGAATCTCTAAATAACAAAATAAATTTCAGAATTTTCTTAAGTAAATTAAGGCTAGAAATAAAACAAATGAACAAACATCTTACGATTATTAGTTCTACTTTGTGCATATGCAAAGACCCTAAGCAAAATCCTAATCAAATAAATGTCGATGCATTGTTCAGAATAGCCTACAAATACCATTGTCTCTCAGAATAGGTACGAGGGGGATTCAAAACGTAATGCAATTTGTTTTATTACATAAGAGATAGCGAACACAATCAAACATAAAGGGTGTTTCATTAAGACGGATTATATATAAGGGTGTTTCATTAAGACAGAACAAAGTCCTCAGTAAATAAATCAGTGTTATTGGTATAAATTTACTTATTTCTCTATTGGATCATGTTATTTAAGTCATGTCAATTATGCGTGAAAAATAATATTGCCCAAATGTCCGCCAAATCTGAAAGAAAAAGAAAAAAATTATTAGACGCTTAAACATAATTCACATTTAAAATCGGACCATGTTAATTGGAACACCCTTCATAATACATTATGATATAGCTATACATCATAGGTTCAGATACCTACTCCTGAACCTGGTCGTCACCTCTTTCTATGGCAGTGTTTCACCTACGAATGGGGCATGTATCCCAGCTTCGTAAAATTCAGCTGTCTATTGATATAGCAAATTCCTTACATCAGATCTCGCTTCATCATCAACTGTCTTAGCACCCTCAGCAGATTTCCATCTCTTTGATCCAAGGAAGGAGACACTGAGGGGTAAACGTTATAATGGTGATCAAAAAGTGAAAACTGCTTAAAGTAATTGGCAATATTTAGCTGAGTTTTACGAAGCTGTTATATATGCCATAATTTTTAGGGTGGAACACTGCAATTAAAAGAGATGGTGTCATCCAAAGAGGTGGTGACTAGGTTGATCTATAGCTATATCTTGAAGTACTATATATTTGATTGTTTTCCTTATTTCTTATACAGGCTGCGGCAGAAACGCTTCCAACTTAAAGGTAAGACATTAGCTAGATGAAAACACT